TGTTATTGTAGCTACGGGGCTGCATTCCAGTTGAATCTAAATGCCTCTGTCACGGCTCGCAATAACCCTAATGGCAGGAACACGATGTTCCTGCTCCTGGGCGAGCATTTTCTGCGGATGCATCGCTTTGGACACGAAACGAATACCTTCTCTTGTTTCGCGCGTCAAACTTAAACTTACGAACGATTCGGACGCGTAAATTGTAGAGAAGGAACGCGGAACACGAGGTACATCGTTTACGCGCTGGATTTTCGCAGCTGGCTACTTCCACGAGATAACTACAAAGGTCCCCTGAAATTATCCGCTTAAAAGGAACGTCGTTTTCTGGCGTCGACGAGCCATCGATATCGAGACGATGGTAACGATAAGTCTCAACGATCCTGCAACGTACATCGACGATAGAAATCGGGACCGTACCTAAACCATTGTGTCACGGATCACTCGTAACGCGATTTTGTTCGCTGCTAAACGGAATGTTCGTAGAATTAAACGATGCTCGTACGGTGACTTCGGATTAGCCTGGCAACGCGTACAATGTCCCAAACGAGTTCGCGCATCCGTCGCAAGCGAATCTCCCCTATGGTTCTTACGTGACGACATTTAGATCGTCGGTACGCGATAAGCGAGATAAAACTGCAGCTTCGGCTATAATAGGGGTAGCTTGAAACCGCGAGGCCATCGAGACAAAGTTGTCGAGTAAACGAGGAGCATAGCGAGAGGTGCACGAGTTAAGATTAACGCTAAAGCAAACGACGAAGCGAATAACGATTTAATTTTCGTTCGAACACGAGAACTAAAAGCAAGCTGCTTGGCCAGTAAAGTGGTAAAGTGCCGGTAATGTTGGTCCGTTTGGACGGCTGTGCCGTAGCATTTGCAAGCAGATCGCGATTAAAGTAGATTCGCGAGAATGCGATTAGCCAGAAATGCTAATCGAGCCAGTCGCGGAGGAAGAATCGCGCGTTGCGCCACGCGAAAATTAGAAAGGCGCCTTGCACCGGCAATTGCGATCGGGTCTCCGTTCTAGCTCTTCTAGCGAGAAAACTCTGTATATCCATTTCGTAGCTATCTCTCGATGCGTTCGGGTCCGTTGCGTAAGTCGATTGCTCGCGTCTCGCGATTCCTTAATTAGAAGGCCGAATCGAATTCGACGGTAACGAAAGCAAAGAACGTAATCGATATATCGTACTCGGCATAGAACGTCCGCGAGAGAATCGCGAGCGGTATCTGATTGCCATCCTTCGACTTATTATCGGTTTGCACCGCTCCCTCGCAAATATTTTTTCGCCGTTGTCCGCGCTGTACTTTCTTCGGCCTCGATCTCCTTGCGAGAACCTCGCTTACGTATTATCGCTTTCGCAATCATTATTAGACGTTGTTGCGCAAGCGAGAGCACTCTGTCCTATATGAAATATCGCCCGCATTCAATCTCAACCGCGGATACGTTGTAATTAGCGTGCAAGACATTGCGTGGAAGCAGAGCCTCTAACGTAGCGTGAATACGCGATATCGCGGCTCGTAGGACACGGACGTCTGTAAAAATCCAGATGCCATTTCAGATAGGTGCCAGCAGATTCGCCATGCCGTTACACCGACAGTGTGCTGCAACTTTGCAGCAAGCTCACGACCTACCAATCTTCGCCTCGCTCTGCCTCCAGTTATTCATCCGTGGCTGGCTTTTACATCGTATTAACGCTCCTCCTGTAATAAGTCATGCCGCTCTGCTTATCGGCATTACGATACAAACGAAAACAGCCTTAACGATTTTCCTATTTAAAGATTCGCCATTATCGACTCGTGCCGATAAATCGTACGTTGCGGCGGATAACGTATAGCGGAAAGGTAATTGCACGACAGAAAGGTATCGAGAAATGATAACTAATCGTTCGTTAAGAACAGATGTGCTGACAGATGGCCGTGGCAAACGCTATTCTCACATTCGCTACCAATTGCCTCGGGTCACTGTAATCGACGGACTATAAGCTGACTCTATCAGACCCTCCCTCTATACTCCATATAGTCATTTTTTCCGCTAAACCTGTTGCTATATGTTGCGCGAGAATATTCTGTAATTTATGCATTCTCCTCGTCCAGTTATCCTTGTCGCGTCCGCTCCCGCTCGTATCGAAATCGCATCGAGACTCGTTCGCTCCGTTGTTTTCGGAGGCGATCTTCCGTAAAACGAGGATGCGCTTAGAGTCTCGTTACGACACCCCTCGAACCCGACGACGTATCGCGATATCGCCGAGTTTCACGGAAACCCGGTAACTCGTTGCTACGCATCGTCTACGGCGAGAAGGACGCGTTATTCGTCGAGTGTCAACGTCGAGCGTGCAGTGCCAACTCAATTAACGCGATCGCGACGACGATAAATCCTTTCGTTTCCCTTCCTTTCCCTTCTCTGCCCTCTCCGTCTCTGCTTACGCGATACGAATCGAGAAAACGAAACGGTACGTTATGTATTGTCCCGTAATTTGCACTCCGCGACTCCTAAGAATCCGTGCTCGCAAAGTGTACCTAGTTCGAATCGAGATCGAAACGTAAAAACGCGGTCGCTTCTCGAAGGAATCGTAGTCCTTCAACTTCTATTCGAATAGCTCGGAAACATGCAACAGGACAAACGATCGGAACAGAGTTTTTCTCCTCTTCCTAGAACGGCGCATCGGAACCGGCGTGCTCCGCCGAGTGCATCCTTATTACCGCGAAAAAAAGGCTGTCGTATCCGCGATTAAGCGCGGTCTCCAGCACGTGTATGTAAATGCCGGTAAGTTGCACGCGACTGCGCGAAATAAAGGGTGCGAGTGCGTAGCGGTTAGCGCGAACGTGCACCGATAGAAAGAGGATCGCGTGTCCCGGTAAGCGAGCTGAAATGCGTCCAAGTCGTCGCTTTGGCCAGTTAACGACGAGCCAACACCTTTGCGCGGAATACGCGTGTGTCCGCTTGCCGTGCGTTCGTCGAATCGTTCGTCAGCTTCCGATTTATTATACCTACAAGCGTTACACAGTGGCGAGGCGCGTCGCGTAAACAAGCGTTACGCGTGTAGGCAGATTAACCGCGCGAGAAAAAAGAACCACCTTCCAAGAACTTTATTCGACGCGGTGGATCGTCAAGGTTTATTCCGTGTAAGAGTTAGGCTCGTTCGCGAAATGCTTGAGCTCTTAGAGACGACGGTATTAGCGAGAAAGCCGAGAACACGATACCGACCTATCTCTGCTTTCCCTCGTTGCTCCACGCCGTCTATATCGCGAGCCCTAAAACGGGGCGTTAAGTCCCAAGTTCGTTAACACCCGGAACGAAAACCAATGCTCGGAACGCGGTAACTTTCTCTGTCTTTCGCAGTTTCGTCTTATATCGGACAGAAGAAAAACGCGTTTCCTGCTGGATGGTTTCAATGTCCCAGCGTACGTCCCTATCTCCTGCGTTATAGTCAAACGCTTTCGAAACAGAATAATACGGAATGTCGATCGTACTCGAACTCTGCCAGAGTGCAGATACTTGTTCGAACGAGCACGTTTTTACATCGCGCTATCTTTAAGCGGTACAGTATCGCACGCGGTTACGAGCGGGTCAAAATATTGGAATATGGTTCGCAGAGTTTTGTAGCGAAAATCGTAAAAAGATAGGTGATTTATAAGCGGTGTCCGCCTCGTGGTTCGTTCGTTCCTTATCTATCGATTTAACGCGTTCTAGAAGAAGTCTAAAATCAACGTGGCGTTGACAAGACTTGTCCATCGGTAAATCATTGGCCACGAGCGGTGACATGTTCCGTAGCCCCCTATCAGGACGAGTCTATTAAATCTGCAACAGGACGGAATGTCTGCCACGGCCATTACCATTCCGCCAAGTCGTAAGTTATCTTCGTTGACAGTGGGCGCGCATAGAAATGTCTTCGGCCGTGATACCTTCTGACTTCTTCTTCTTCTTCTTCTTCCACTGGATCTTCTCCTTGTTTTTCTTTTGCTCCTTCTCGTTCCGCTCGCAACCGTCTTTGGTCGCGCTGTTAGCCGCCGACATCCCCATCAACCCATATAATCAACGCGCTCGAATCTTTTCGGTAACGCGGTTGTAAAATCGGTAACAGTCTGCAGGTTTTTTCGATAGACGTCTTCGTGAACTTACGCGTTTTCGATTATTTGACGACGTTCGGTTGTCTTTGGTCCGATTGACGTCGAACGATCTCGCGGAGGCTATTGAAGGTTTGGACTCGAGGAGGACGATTGGTATAAAATTTGCATCGCATTCCACTTGGCCGCTGCGGTGCGACGCGGCGGCCCTTGGCAGTACCAGTAATAGCGGCCGTGCATCGTAGGTAGATCCACGAAGAGATCTCACCTCGGCACCTCCGCGAAACTCGCGGACACGAACGTAAAGAAGAAAAGAGGAGGGAAAAAGAAAGAAGAGAACACGCGAGACGACAACGAGAACGAGAAGAAGACGAAGAAGAAGGAGGAGAAAAAGAGGAGAGGAAGGTAGAAGACCGGCAGCTCTTCGTTCCTCTTTCTTTTCGAGCCCTTCCAATTCTCTCGTGATCATAAAGGTTTTGTTGTAGCCGCCGAGTCGAACGGTAAATCAAGATGGTTGCTTTACGTAATGGAATTGCACCGGCCACGTCTTAATTAGGAAAAATCTGGAAGCACATCCGTTTCCAGCCCGGCGATCCTAAGCGGAGTTAAGGCACCCATTGCATTCTCGTTAACCGTCTCTGCTTTTGAATGCACCGCACGGCGAATTATTCGTTACGCCATTTACCTCGAGCCTTTGTTTCGAAGAAATCGCGCCCTCTACCGGGCAACATTTGCTACACGCATCCTCGCGAATACGCGATTAACGATAAAACGGAAGAACGTTTTGAGAAAGCGAGCAAGAATCTCGCGTTCGGTTTGTTCGTGGTTCGTACGCAACGTTAATAGATTCGGTCTGTTCGGTTCAACGATAAATTCGCGTTTATGAGTACGATGGACACCGCGATCGTTCGTTGTCGAAATTTTTCTGCATTCCGTGCACGCTACTCGAGAATCGTGCTTTCGCTGGTTTTCACTCTACGCGAATGCCAACATGAACGTTGATCCAAATTTACGTGAGATATCCAATTACGGTTCTTAGTCTCGACTGCTGGTGAAATACCGCGATGACTTCCGAGACAAGTGGCGAGACTTCGAGTCTCGAGCATCTTCACCGAGAAGTACGAAACATACGTGATTTTATGTCGCGCTTAACCTCTGTGCTATCCGCTATATTCTCGCGCAGGCCTTTGATTGTTTAGAAACGTTTCCGAATAAAATCATCGAACTGAACGCTTTCATCGACGAGTATATGCCGGAATCGGTTAAAACCAGCAAGTATGACGAGAACACGACCGGTCGAAAAGTCAGGTGCCAATCTACGTTATCCACCGCGAAAAATTGCGACTTGAACAGCGTCTCGGATTTTGGTGGTAAATGTCAGAAGCAGACATCTCAGCGTACGAACCTTTCCGTTCCGCTTGTGTTCTTTCAGTTTCAAGTTACTACTCTTTACCGATCTGTAATCACGGTCGATCGCGGCACGGAGTTTGCAAAAGAAAATTTTATCGGTCGCGAGGTGTAGCCAGTTGCAACGGACGTCGAAGACCCGGTCCGCTTGGACAACTGTTAGCGTTTATAGTGAGCAGTTTAACGGCGTGCACGAGGAGAATCGTAATCGCTCCGTCCAAATACATCATCGACAACGTCGTCTCGACTTTCTTCCAAAGGTAAGATCGAGTCGATTTTCTCCGAGGTACAGAAATTCATAGGTCGTCTTAAACGCAGGCGAGAGTTGAAAAACGCCGAATGTGGACCCTCGTCGGATTGGGACAACTCGCTTTCGACATGCGTGTTCGCGCTCAAGAAAGACACCACGGTCATCGGAAAGCTTATCGACACTATGCGACCCGCCGTAGTGAAACTCATAACCGACACGACGATCGTAAGTGTTGGCGGTCGTGAATTTCGTCCGATCGAAATAAAAACTGATTTATTCGGTTCAGCTGAAACGCTGGTTGCAAGCGGTTTCTCTGGCGACCCCGTCGCCATCCACGGAATTAACGAACGCCACTCGTAACACTGAAACCATCGACTGCTGGGCTTACGAGTTGTTCTTCCATCTCAAGTACCTTCAAGTGAATCGTGCGCGACGAACCACCGTCGACAAAGTATGCGATCCTTAGAGGCAATTCTATCCGTCGCGTCACGCCGTACGGTTACCGCGGGGAATGCGTTAATTTCCCTTTCGAGCCGATGCGACTGTAACAACGACTTTCAGCCGTGCTTTCAAGCTCGTTAACGAAACGCTGTTTCATCAGGTGGTGGCCAAAGAAGAATCCAAGCCTAACGAGCTGATTCACGCCAACTTGTGGCATCGTTTGGTACAGCTTCGCGACAATTACATCATCTTGTACGAAACGCTCCAGACCTACGACAAGATTCGTAATTCCGAGAAGGAGAAACAGCAGGATTAATGTACGATCGTTAGTGTCGAAAGTAAAAAGAAAAAAGCGTAATTCGCTCATCGAGTTGGTTAATTACCATTACGAAGGAATAAAGGGGTTAAGAAGTCGCGTTTCGCGAACAGTTTTCCAAAGAACATTAACATAAGCTGTACAACGAGTTTAACTCGAGTAGAAGGTCCGTCGATCGAACCTCTCGCCCGTTTGTTTCGACACGATTCAGCTGACATGGCACGCTATTGTGGTTAACATTTAAACTTCGTGCCGAGGAAGGGAACGCAGACAGGCTACAGGATTTTTGCTTCGCCGAGATTGCACCACCCGACCTGCAGTCACCGTTCGCTCCATCGACCATTTTTTTTTTCTCTCTTCGAGTAATAGCGTAACCTACTTGGCCGGATAGAACGTCAAGCGTTTTTCACGGCGAACCCAATACTATCGGACACTAATATCTACGATTGTTCGATCACGTTGCAAAACCGATATCGTACAGTTTCTACGTTCGTTGCACAAGTTTTAATCGAAACGCATTCGAAGCGACGAGGGAAAATTTCTCTGTCCCAACGAATAATAATAAAGAGTTGTTCGTGAAACGACTACGAACGTGGAAGACGAACGCGTACGGCGTACGCGACCTTTCCAGTGCAACGAGTCTACTAGGAACCAGTCATCGGACGCGATAGAATTATTAACAATTTAACAACGACCAACGTACATGCTCGACGTACATTTGCTTGCCTCTTGCCGTTCCACGAGATCTCCTTCGTAATTCATCGAACGTGAGTAGCACTTGTCATACGCGGATAAGGTCGATACTCCGGTCACTCTGATCTAATCCTTCTTCGGACATTGTCGGAAGTATCGAGCGTCGGCGAAAGAAAGCCGAAGCACGTTTTATATCGAGTTCCGTTGACACCGATTACACCGTTAGCTAATATGCAATTTTCGTAACGAGGTTCTCGCTCGTTTTCTTCGCCAGGCGAATCGAATCCAATCGAGTCAAGCGGAGCCGAGTCTTCCGTTCCCACAATAAATGCAGCGGCAGATCTTTCTGGGGCTCGAGGGAGTGCCGGTAAACATCACGATGCCTAGTATGGTCGCTCGGTTATCGAACAATGCCAGAAAGAAGGAAGGAAAACGGTGACCTCGTTTCTTGTCCCGTTCGATCGACGCGGTAATTTCCGCGTATGTCGCGAACCGAATTAATCGATTATTCGTAATTACAAGAATCGACGACGTACGAGATCGCTAAACCGGTGCGATCCGTTTCGCGAACAGCGATCCACCGATAAGATGTACGCGTATAAAACGATTCCCGTGACGGTGATAAATACAACTGTTCACCGGGAATCATCCGGATTCTCCACTAGCGTCGATATACGTTTCATCCTGAAGATCGCACGCTGCTTCTGTTATCTGGCGAGTAATCGAAACGAATGATATCGTTGAGCAACGGCATCCAAGGGACGTTATTACGCTATTAAAATCTAAATGTCGACAGCGCGCGAGATATTAATTACCGTGACAGTTATGCGATTATAAATCAAAGTTATTTGCTATTCACCGGTAGATAACTAGCTGGAACGCTTCGCTTCGTTCGAAAACGCGATGAAAAGTGATCACGAGAGAGGAACGGTTTTCCCGACAGGTCGGATGGGTTAGGTATCCGCCAACGTTTCCATCCAAAGGTAAACGCGTTAAACGAGTATCGACCCCAACTAACCTATGATCTTGGTTGATAGGTGATCGAGAGTTAAGCCTCGGTCTATCCATAACAGCCTCGAACCGAGTCCCTCGCATGGCTCTATCGTGCGAACCTACGGTAGTCACGACTCTGATTACGAGCCACGTAAACCACCGGAGAGCCGTGTGAAGGGAAAATAGGCGGAGAGAAGAGAACACAGCAAAAAACGAGAAAACGCGATGCCATGTCGAAATATCGGTAAATTTATTCGAGTTCATTTCGGGTTGTCCATCCAATACCGATCATATTGCTTCGTGAAACGACGTAAAACTCGAAATCGTTTCGACGGGTACTCTCGTACCAGCAACAGAAGAGATAGAGGAGCTCTCGAATCCGAGGAAGAGCAAAGATCGCGATCGTAAGATCGTACACGGGACTAGCAAGATCCAGAGGAACCGTTAGAGTTAACGATGAGTTCGCTTTCCTGCCTGTTCGCGATCTTTACGCTTTGCAATTCCGCGAGTGGATATTGCCGCGATACCACCGGTAGCGCGTGGAGGCGGTTAACAAGATGAACGATCCGTCCAGAGAACAACGAAGGTACATGATCGTATAGTTTGCTCGGGATTTCGCGATGTTCGGTAAAATCGGAGATATAATAGTTTCCTTTCGTCGACGCGAAAAACTCCTTCGAGTTCTCAAAGTGTAGCAAGCTCTTATCTCTGGAGGAGACGGTGCTGATCGTTTCTCTCGTTAAAACGCGAGCTTCGGGGACCGACGTATTCCTTTCAAAGATTTACGACGCGGGATGAAAACGAGTATACTTGGTTCGTTTTCCGATCGATTGGAAACGGCAAGACGAAGATAAATCGTGATGGACCTTTATATCACGGCCAGACGATAAGAGCTAAACTCGTCCTGTTCGAAATTAACCAAAGTAGCGATCGTAAACGATACGAAACGTACGTATCCGGCATATCGAGTAGAAATCTGACCTCGTTCCTGTTTTAAAATTCCTTCTCGAATGACGGTCGCAATTGGAAGACAACGATGCCCCTTTACGCGAACATTCTCGCAGCGTACGTAAGGTACTGTAGAAAGGAAAATGCTTTTGTAATAATCATCAAAGTCCGTGGCTACACCGTATCCGTCTTTTAGCGCACGGTAATATAGAATCGTGGGTGTGTACCTCGAGCACGCTACCCGAGAACAATGTGACATTATGGTAAATGACTGAGACCGTTGTCGTCGGGGAACGGTTTGTCCCGTACTGTTACGTTTCGCTCAGCATGACCCGTTCAAACTTTTTTCACCGATCGACGATTTCGCGATAAAGTTACGTCGTATTATCCGTCGATTTTCTTTCCATTTCCACGCGAACAGAGAAGGACGGAACAACGACGTAACAAAATTTCCGCGATTCGTTTTCTAAAAACTGGTAGATGGAGGAATAATTTATGATCCAGGAAAACACGCGCGAGCCTCAAGTTTCAGTTAGACGCGTAACCACATTCGCGTGTCTTCATCTGACGCGTTATACGCAAGAGCGGTCACCCAGAGATCCGTATAGGATAGATTGTCCTCGACGTGCACGAACCGTTCTAATCCGATCCGTGAAAATATGAATCAGAAAACTGACAATTGGAAGTCGAACTAACGGGATTTCTAATGTCTTACGTAACGCGTCTACGTTGCATAATCGATTTCGTGATCAGAAATATTATTATTCGGTTGCTTGCCCGATATAAAAGCTTCGTATTATTTTATCGATATGCCGGAACTTATAACCGTGCACGGTGAAATTTAATGGTACATCGCGAACGAAAGCTCGCGTAAAATTGCAAGTGTATCTTTACTGTGGTCGTATTTTGTTTACGAAACAGCGATTTCTATCGGAAAAACGATTTCGTTAAATAATTAGACAGTTTATTCGATAAGAACGTTCCTTCTGCTGCTATTAAATATTATGTACTTCTGATTACCGTCGTTATTATAACGGACTTTAGAAGTTATCGAAAAGTAGCTGGTGCGGTAAGCCGCAGAGTACCGTGCGCTACGACTCATTAACAATCCATATCTGAAGTGGTAACGCGATGTGATGCAATTTATCGAAGCGACATGTAACTTTAATTTTTCCGGAGTGCCAAATTTGTTTTCCTGAATGCGACGCAGCGCGACTCCACGATATAAACGTTTACCTAAATTGCCCGAGAAATTTGATCAATCATTGCTCTGTATAATACGAGGTCCACGCTACAGAGATCTCGTTAACGATCTATAAGCTGTAGAAGAATAACTGTGGAAAACGCGTGTGCCGTGAAACGCAACACTTTCCATGTTACCAAGGAACGCGTTGCGCAACCATAGGTGTACCTTTCGCGAAATGTTCGTAGGAAATCGAGCATGTATCCCCTGGTCACGCGATAGCTGTATTCGTCGGCAAAATTTACTTCCTGATTCGCGGAGCTTCCACTGACCGACAATCGTAAGGGGATAATTTGTGACCGAAGAAAATTACCGATAAACCTATGCCTCTTACGCGTTATGCAAGAAAAAGAAAGTTTCGTTCGATTCGGACGAAAGTATAGACTACTTTCGTGGATCGCTGCGAAACGCAGCGGTTATGTACTAATGATTGTCGTACTTAGGCGATGAAGCGTATTCTGAAAATTTCGAAAATTACACGGCGATCCCGTTAAAGTAAAGAGTTATAAGAGGGAAAATAAATGCACGAGCTCGAGTTACGAGCAACTTTATCCGAGAGAAATCTTTCGTTTTTTCAACCATGGAGGTAGCGTGTTTCTGAATTGGTATTTCCGAAACATTGTTCGTGTTTACATTGAAACTCGTACAATTACCGTTGACCATACATCTTACGCATTATACAGAGATATTGCCTAGACGTTGTAAGATAAGCACGCATGAATCCCTGCCGCGATAGAGCGAACAGGCCGAGCGGAATACACGATTATGCAAAATTGGTATTCGCGGTAGGGTTCCATGCGTTGATCTTAAATTACGCGACTTCTTGACGGAGGGATACTCGTGATTATCGTAAATTATAATTATTCCTGGAACGAACAATGAAAATGGCCGAGTTTTAACCTCGTGATTGACGATCGCTCGAACGATTTATCGATGAAGAAATCAAGAATCTAATTAATCAGACAATCAAAGAGACTTTGCTCGAGAAACAGGAATGACGCGAGTAAAACAAGATAATTCGCTTTCGTTCGAAAGTATCGCGTGCGTGCGACGTACTCGAGATCATCCAACGATCGGTAAGCAGGAATAACTGGTAAACACGAGTGCATACGTCCTCGCGGTATGTTGCTAGGTGATCGATAGCGATATTCTTCGAAAAAAGATATCAAACTTCGTGGACTACGTTTATTTGCAAGTCCGCGAATGCAAAATCGCTCGATTAAAGGGTCGTCGATTTAAAGTTACAAAATAACGTCAGTAGACCGATTACGGGTTGTCGTTCTGCCATTATGCGTGACAAATTTACGGTTTCTCGAGAGCAGAATTTTCACGACGGTAACCCATTAAGGATACACTTTTATGTCATATTAGAAAACATAAAACATTTGTAAAACGAACGATACACAACGGATCCTTGACATCGTACTACACTTATTATTTCATTTTTAGCATTTAACTTGTTTACAGTATTAGCATTACAAATGCAAGACGCGTTCTACGGCGCAATATTTCATACCCTGTTTACCGAGTACTCTCCCGGTCATAAAGAATTCAAGCCTGTAACTTAACGCTTGATTTTCTCGTTCCGCGAAAAATTTATTTCAAGCGCA